AGACATCATCGATCAATGAAATAGACTACATGTAGGAGAAACATCACTGAATGTTTCCCTTGCAAGCTAACCACCTACATCGCATTTATTTAATACTCTGTGAAGATGTAGATTGTAAAAAAGCATAATAATAAAAATATATACATCCGGACTAGCGGACGAAAGTCCTGCAGCACCGCAGAAAACTAAAGGCCGACAGATATGACACACGTCGAAGTAACCAGAAATGGTATTGAAAAGCTATCAATCACAGCGAAAAACATAGAAGAACATTCACTCTTCAAAACAATGGAAGATTCCTTCACAAGGTTCTAAACAGTTTTTCCAAGCAAGCGGTAAAAATGAGGACGCTCATGAATATCCTCACCGCCGTGCTTAACAAATTAGTAAAATAATTCACATATGCAGCATACAAGAGTGGAATTCAAATTGGTGACCGAACGCATAAAAGTAGAAGTATTTCTCAACACTCAGAAAACAGGCAGCCTATTGGTGTCGGAAACCCACTGTGCGGAACGAAACTATGAAAATATCCCCAACGTCCCAAACTATATCAGATACGCTACCAAACTTCCGGATGTGAGAGCCCATGCAGGTTCAACCATAATCAAAAGAAAAGATATAAAACACCACGAACTTCCCATATATGAAACAGACCACACTCAGGCAACGGATATAAGCATCGAAGGCTGGGATGGAAGTTTTACTTTCTCAGTCATATACTGCCCCCTCCCCCACGCCACACATTTAAAAAAGAACAATACAATTCCTTCGTTGACTCACTAGGATACAGATTTTGTGTTTGGAGGTGATTTCAACGCGAAACACCAATAATGGAGTTCCCGCGTAATCAATCCTAAAGATCGCGAACTATACAAAACCATGCAAGAAAAACAACTAGAAATATTATCCACGGGCGAACCAAATTATTGGCCAACAGATATCAACAAAACTCCAGATCTACTAGGCATCTTTATCTTCAAAGGGCTTTTCCATACCTCCATAGATGTAAGAACCAATCCAGAGATCGCATCAGATCACACACCTATAATCACCACCATGTGTACGAATATTTAAACTCACCAAAAATCACCAAAACTGCACAACAACCAAACAAACTGAGAAGACTTCAGAATTTAAATCGAAGAAAATTTACGATTCAACATTCAGCTCAAAACAGAGAAAGACATTAAAAGGGCTATTACAGAATTCACTGACGTAATAAAAGAAGCAGTTTGGAGTGCAACACCAGACGGCAAACTTGAAACAAATATCTGGAATTTTTATGGGAAGTGAAGGACCAGATTAACGGAAACCGAAAACTTAGAAGAAGATAGTAGTTGAGTCGGCATCCCGAAGATAAATTCAGGTACAACGAAGAGGCTAGATAAAATGAAGGCAAAATAAAGAGGATCAAAGAAGAAATATTTCAGGTACACTTTCAAATATTAACAACGACAGCTGACACCGACTATTCACCCTGGAAAGCAACCCAACGATTTAAATAACCGACACAACACATCCCACCAATCAGAAGCGCGGAACAAGCCTGGGTACGAAGTGATAGAGAAAGCGAGCGCGTTTGCAGGATGCTTGGCAAAGACATTTCAGACAAAATGAACTGCCACAAAACGAAGACTTCGAAACAGAAATCAACAAAGCGCTGAATGAACCGCTGCAAATAACAACAAATCAAACTCCTCACAGTGAAGAAAACCAAAACGTAATGAAAACGACCGCAACCCAAGGAAACCCCCGAATATGACCAAATTACAGGAAGAATATTGAAAGAATGCCATAAAAAGGCATTGTCCATCTAATAATTATATTCAACTTAATTCTTAGGACGGGATGCTTCCCAATTCAGTGGAAAGTCGCAAATATTATAATGATCACGAAACCTGGAAAACCGCCAGAAGAAGCAGGTTCATATAGAACTATCAGGCTACTCCCAATAATGAGAAAATCTTCGACAAAACTATTTCAAGAGATTACGACCGACACTGGAAGGAAACCGAATCCTGTCGGATCATAAGTGTGGATTTTGACAGAAACACGCTACCATAGAACAAATACACCGAATTACAAGATAAAATAAGAGAAAGTTTAAAAAAAGAAACAGTACTGCTCTGCGGTGTTCCGAGACATCACACAAGAGTTTGATAAACATGGTATCCAGGCCTCCTTTTCAAAATCAGAAAAGTCCTTCCCTATACATATCACAGAATATAATCATATCTAACGGATGAACTCTTTCAAGTGAAATTCAACGACGTAATCACAACCTTAAGAAAAACTGAAGCAGGCGTACCGCTAGGAAGTGTCTTTGGACCTGTCCTATATCTTACCTACACAAGCGACCTCCCAATATCAGACAACACAACAACTGCTACCTTCGCGGATGATATAGCAATATTATCCACACATGAAGATCCAACGATATTCTCAGTGAAACTCGAACCCGCCATCAATAAGCTCGATGATTAGATGAAGAAATAAAGAATTAAAATACGTCGAAATCAATCCACGCATATTACATTAATCCTAGGCAACCAAACCTATCCGACAGTGCAAATGGGTAATGTTGATCTACCCCAGAAACATGAAGTGAAATACCTAGGCATGCATCTCGAAAGAAGGCTGAGATGGGCAAAGCATATCAAAATCAAAAGAAAACAGCTCAACCAAAAAGCGAAACAAATGAACTGGCTACTCGGAAAATCAACACAATCAATAGAGAGCAAACTCCTCCTATACAAAGCAGTACTCAAACCCATATGGGTTTACGGAATTCAGTTCAGCTATGGGGAACAGCCCCTAAGTCCAAAATCGAAATCCTCCAGCGCTTTAAATCAGACCCTCCAAGTCACTCGGAAAGCATATTGGTAAATAAAGAATCATAGGATCCATGAAGGTCTATAAATGAACACACTGCCCAGTGAAATAAAGAGGTGGAATAAAAATACTTAAGAAAATTACGGAATCACTCTAATGCTTTAGCAGTGAACATATTAGACAACAGCGAAACTACACATAGACTGAAAACATGTACCGTTCTAACTCTACCAGACAGACCTGAGTAAACCCCCAATACAAGCATTAAAAAGATACCTAATTGAAAAGAAATCACGAGTATGAGTTACGCCACTGGGTATAAAACATTTACGAGCCAGTACTCATTGAACGCATTGTAACGTGTCTGGCTACTGAAGACGCCGTTTGAATTGCTAATTGGTTTTATTAACCACTTACCGGTCGTAACTACAATTACTTATTACACTCTTACTGATTTACACAACTTATACTCACTACACGCTAATCTCTTCAGTTAATCTTCGGCAGTCTTCACGTATTTATGACACGGGAGCTATACAAGTCTCACTGAAATACACACTCCCAGTACCTTTTCAATTATCACAAACTATCGCTGATTATCACATAAAATCTTCTAACCACGCGTTCGGTTCTTCTTCTTTCACGGCTGATATATCTGAACTGAACTCCTCAGGCATTCCAGTTTCTCTTATAAACTCTAAGTCGGACAGCAGAAAACGCACATCGCTTCACTATTGCGTAATCGTCGTGTTTACAAAGGCGTTGCTGAGCAACGCTGCCGAAAAATATTTACTGCAACGCTGCGTAGCAACCAGTCCGCTTCGTTGTTGCACTTATTCTCCCAAAAATATAATCTAGCTGAACAAATGCACATATCCCTTACTGCTCGTAGTTTGTCTTCTTCATTGGGATATTACAAACAAAAAAAACCCTGCATATCTGTTTATGGCTCTACAGTCCTTTGTTGGAACTTGGCTACTTCTTCAGCATCTTGATCGTATACACAGACGGTTAGAGTCCTTTACCGAATCCTCCAGGAGAATTGCAAACTCAAGCAAAGGCGGCAGATACCTCAGTGAATTAATATTGTGTTTACCCACCCCCGCCGTCGCAGCATAATAATTGGTGGCATCGGTGGGATACCTCCACGCCCCCCTGTGGTCACGTCGTAATAATTAGTGGCAGCGCCGTGATCTTCGAATCACACCCCTAGGAAGAGACAGGTGGTAGGACNTCGTGCGTAGCAAGTGAGCAGTTGTATTTCGCGGTCCGCCGTGAGGAATCTAACAACGACTAGAGAGGGCTATAACAAACTGAGAAGAATTAGTGAGTACTGTAGTTACTTGTAGAGCGTGTAAATTAGTGAGAGTGATGTAATTGTTAATGTTTAATTAATTATAATTAATTAATTACATCAATTACATCACTCTCACTAATTTACACGCTCTACAAGTAACTACAGTACTCACTAATTCTTCTCAGTTTGTTATAGCCCTCTCTAGTCGTTGTTAGATTCCTCACGGCGGACCGCGAAATACAACTGCTCACTTGCTACGCACGAAAAAGTCAAAGTCAAAGTCACATTGCAACTGGAATCAAACTAGCTGCTTCGTTATATAGCCTGTGCCTGACCACCCAGAATACACCTATTCCAACAGTTCTTTTATTGTTGCGTGTCGCCTGGTGTGGTATTGTACCTAGCAACAACATTTATTTACAGAGCGATTATCTAGCAACGGCTTCTGTTTACGAAGCGAATACCTAGCAACAGCTTTTAGTAGCAGCTTATTTCGCTGTCGTTGCCAGGTTACGGGTATACACGCATAGTTTTGTAGATACTGGAAGCGTCGTAAAATAACATGAAGAATAATCTGCTTGCTGATATGTCTTTATAATGAACATGAATAATGTTTTTCTGTAATGTAGGAACTGCATTTATGAACGTAATAGTTAAGAACTAAACTGCTTCAAAGTCTTAAATCTCTGAGTAAATTTCTTTGAGTTTCTTTAATCTAAAGTAGACATATCGAGATAGCATTGTGAGTGTGGGTGAAAACTGTACAGATTAAATACGTATTTCAAGTACAACGCGAATAAGTAATTTTTGAACATGGGGAAGAGAATGCTCGACAGCGCTAGTGTCGGCCAAAGAATGAAGGTGGTTAAGGTAGCCATTTTGTTTGTGAGTTTGGTGTGATGTAGAAGAGCGTAGGTGTTTATTTTGCGGCTTATAATGATTTGGCATAAGATCTTGCAGGTAAGAAGGAAGTAACAGTGTAGTGTTGGCCGAAAGCGGAATACGTAATTTTGTCGTGCGAGACAAACTTAGCACAATGTGCAGACTAAAGAAGAGGTTTAAGATATTCAAGGATGTATACAGACAAGTACTCAAGGAACAATTTGCACTGGGATCTGCACCCACATTTTACATTTTGCCCATGAGAATGAACATAAATGTCTGAACTTAAGGTTATGCAGGAAGCATTCAGTTTTGGCAGCTGGTTACTGCAGAATGTGCAGCTGCTATTAGACAGCGAAGTATTGGTGGTGTGCGTACTTTATGCCCGGACATGAAGAAACTATTCACTTCAGAACTGAAGAATTTCTTATGAGCCTTGAGTCATGCTTAAAGACAGAAGGGGCAGTGTTCTAGCAGTTCTTATAGAATGTGATAAGTTTGTGTTGGGATGGAGGAAACTTGTCACCCTGCACTTGCAAATAGCATGTTTCCTTCTCAGCTGAAAGCCCACTAGCAGTAGTAGGCTTCTAATTTAAATCTTATGGCCTCTTTCTTTGTTAACAGTTCCTAAGAGACGTTGGTATTCACTGGTTGGTGCCCACTGTTCATTTATTGTGGAGCAGTGAGAATGGAAGTACTGTCACCCTCACCTTCAAGGAGTTCATGAACTTCAGGCTGAAGATGGACAATCTCAAAGTTTCTGCCATGACTGCAGGCAAATGCTTCCTAATACAGGTATTTGTTATGCCATAAGCACTTTGTGTAGGAATAGTAGAATCCTGTCCCTGTGAGGGTTAGAAGGGACCAGTATTTCAGACAAAGATATTACGTTGAAGCGTCAGCTAAGCATGAAACCAGCAGAAGTAGACAACAAATTTTATGCTTAGCTTTTTCTTCAGACCTGAAAATTGGTGTCATATGTCACTTTGAAGGGGCATGGGTTAGCATTGTTTGTTGAGGCAGTATGCTACAAGCCAGAAGGTCGCTGGTTAAAGTCCCAATGAGGTCTTTGGATTTTTTTTCAATTGACCTAATCCTTTCAGCCACACTATGGCCCTGGTGTCAACTCAGCCCCTAACAGAAATGAGTACCAGGAATCTTCCTGAGGGTAAAGGGCAGCTGGCGTATAAGGCTGACCCCACTGCCATCTGTGATCTAGTTTTAGAAAATTGGGGAGCCTTGACATCTCAAAATGCTAAGGGCCTCCACAGCCTGTTACATAGCTTTTACCATTTTTACCTGTGTTCTGAAACTTGAGACTTTCTCCAAACCACATAGAATTACAAGCCAGAAGACTATACGCTTTATAGTGACCGTCTCAGTAGAGCTCCAGAGCTGGTCTGTATGCTCTGAAGTAGAGGAAAATCACTTACATCTGCCAGGAATTGAGTCTTCAGCTGTCCAGCCTGTAGACTGAACTGTTAGTGTTTTCCTAGACCATTCTAAATGAAAGACCATCTTCAGTTTGCGCACCGATGTATACTGTACTCCATGTTTGGTTCCCAGTGCATGGAGTGCTGTGTACATAGCCCACGTGAACAGTGCTGGAGTGGTATCACTGAAGAAGTTGCTGTTCTAAGTGATGGAGGATGTGGAACCCAGCTTACTCAATCCATAAAGGTCCTACCTCACGCCCCCCTTGTGGACATGCTTGACTTTGCATCAGGGAAGGATTTCCCAGGGAGATCCCCAGTTGCCTCCGCTAGACGTGCACANCGGGTCACGGAAAGACATTTCCTTGAACTATACCCCTCACGGGGAAGAAGGCATGGCCGCACAGATGTGTGGGCCAAAGAAAAGATACACAAATTGGAGTGGTGAATGGGGGGCACCGTTGGGTTATACGAATGCTTCAAGGCCTTCCTTACACGGCTCAGATTCTACTAAATCAGCTGCTTCCATTGCCGAGATAACGGGCGCTCATATTATAAGGTAAGGTTATAAAAACCATCTTTTAAGATCAAATTAGTGAAAGTTTCATCCTTCAAGGCGTACCATTCACTGCTCAGATACTAAACAACCTGCTTCCATTCCCGAGATACAGGGCGCTCATATTATAAGGTAAGGTTATAAAACCACCTTTTAAGATCATTTTAGTGAAAGTTTCATGTTCCTATCTCATAGAATTTAAGAACAATGATGAATAAATCATTTTCGAGCAAAATTTAAATGGCCGCCTGAATATATTACCGCCGGAGACGCGGCCGCGGAATTTAAATAACCGCGCCAAAGGGTTAAAGTGTTTGCATACTTACTGTTCAACACATTGTGAGAGTTGTGTTGCCTTGTGCTGCTGTCAGTGCATACACTAGTAGGCAGATTGTACTGTTTGTTTGAGGGGCTGGTGAGACTTGGGCAAAGAAATTGCTGACCCAGGTGACGAGGCGCCACGTTCTAAATGTACCACAAGAATGAAGGTAGTCCCACGTTACTGTCCATATCAATGTAAAGGAGCTCATCAGCCTTCAGCTGAGAGTGGGGCATCCAGGAGTTCTTCCCTTCGAGTCCTGTCGCACCGCAGCTGTGAAGAGTTCCTACAGGGAAGGTGACTGTGGTGTTGGTTCTGATTGTGACTGTGTTGAGAAACGCAAAATTGAAAACGCCGAGTTTAGTGTTGAGATTCAGTGGGTAATGTACTGAACTGCAGAGTTAGGACTTCCATAATTTGTACCATTAGCAGTGTCATTTTAGCAGGGTTACTGATTCAAGGAGGATGAGATGAGCTGGGCATGTAGCATGTATAGGTTTCTTGAGAAGTGTGGACATTAGTTAGGTCACAAGACCTGAAAGGAAGACACTACCTGGGAGACCTGGGTGTAGATGGGAAGATAATCCTGGGATAGGTCTTAAAGAAATAAGGTATGTCAGCTAGAATTCCTGGCAGGGACCAGTAACAGGTTTCTGTGAACACAGTAATGAACTGGCATGTTCCATAGAGGATGGGGGATTTTTTGAGTGACTGTAGTGCCCCATTTAATGTTTGAAGATTTTAGGTTTTTCTGACAGGAATTGGAAATGGAGGTTCCCCTTGGCTCTTCACAAAGGGTACACTTAGCTACTGGGTATTGTACTTATGTGAAATGTTTTCGTGTTACGACTTACATTGCACATATCACATACTGTTTGTGAACCCAAGTAGACAAGACTGTAATGTATTGTAACGTGTTTCGTTACTGAAGACGCTGTTCGGATTGTTAACCGGTTTATTTAACAACCTACAAGTATCGGCTACAATTAATTACAACAATGTTATGGGTTTACACACATTAGAACCCTACACACAAATCTGTCCACTCTATCATGATTCACTCGTTACAACTAAACTCGGTGACTACCACAATTCAATTCAACTCGTAACCCTCCGCTGGCTAGATTCCAACTCAACTCATAGGCTGTTGCCTTTAGAACTGTCTCGGTGGCTGTGTAGTTCCCTTATAAACCCTCAGCCGGACAACCGGAAAACAGTTATGTAATAAGCATCACTGTTGTCTGACGCCGTGTTTTGCCTGTTACGTAATGGGTACCGCTGTTATTGCCATCGTCTCTAGCAACCACTGTTTACCCGCTTTGCTTAGCAACCGGTGTTTACTTGTGTTGCATAGTGACCAGTGTGCTTGGACTCAGCACACTTCAGCTCCGCTCAGCACGTCACGGCTGGCGGGAAGGGGGAGGGTGTTCTCCATAGCGCAACATGTCACAGTATCATTATGTACCCTTTGAGGCCAGCGCTGGGCAGATGACAGTGTAAAGTGCTGTTCCGGATGCTGAGAGTTGTCCGTGGCACCACTGTACACCGCGTTGACTTCACACTGAGGAAGAATAGTGCATCGTGCATATGAAGTACAGTGGGATGTGTGTATCATGGTAAGAGCTGCAGGTCGCTGTATTGTCTGAAGTTGGAAAGTACACAGAGGATGCTAGAGGAAGACAGATACGAGGGGGTACCCAAAAGAAACCGAACTTATTTTTTTTTAAACTTATTTATTCAAATTTTAAGCACAAACCTTCAATCCCCAGGGCTCATGACCAGAATTTTTTTGTCCAGTTGGTTCTCATTACATAACCTCGGCACGGAGAGCACAGAAAACATGCCCAACAATTCTTCCACCTTGAGTGACGTGTCGAGCGAGCTATTGCCTAGCAGTTGTTCTCGTGTTTGTTGCCACGGGAGATTGTTATTCTCGTGTTTGTTGCCACGGGAGATTGTTTACCGTCCGTTGCCTCTCAATGGATGCCTTTCCTGGATCCACTGTTAGGGCTTGGACCCAGAAAAAGCAGATATTGCTTGACAGTGGCACAATAAACATGTTCTGGAGGCAACAGATATGTCACGCATCAACGAAGGACCTCTTAGAGGGCACTGACCTTGTTGATCTGAGGTGCTACTGCCTTCTCTAACTTGCACCAGTGATACATTTGCATCGTTTTTGAGTCATGTAAGAGTATTTCCTGTCAACTGTTGCTGAGAAAGCACGACCACAGCGGACACAACCATCTCCGCAATATCACTCATATCACTCAACTGCTGATCTTGGCCCTCACTCTTCAAGGTACTGTTTGCTGATTATGCCTCCCTCACTCTCCTCACTTTTGTAATGTTTTGCAATTTCACATTCGAGTTTCTGCAAGGACCTTTCCACTGCCCTACTTCGTAGATGATTCTCATATCATGGAGAAAAACAACGTTACCACTAAACGTATCACTGTTCTCATTGCCTTAGTTTCACTTAAGGCCCTATGTAATAGTTGATATTCGTCTTCCATGACCTTTGATGTGCTAGTTGTAATGCCATGGGATTCCTATTGGAAATTTTTCCCCGGCACGTAAAGGAACGAACTCAGTGGCATTGACGTTTAATCATGAGAAAATTGTGTCCCGTTGGAAGAGTGTGTAAACAGTAGGGTTTTTGTAGAAAACTGCTTTTCCAGGATGTATGCCACTGTTGACGGGTTAGTGTAGATGTAGAAGCTGATCGGAACTAAAGATATAATAACTCAGAAATACCGAAAGATTCTGTTTGTTAGGTTCATCTCGGAATGCAGGCGTAGTGCAGGGGCATAGATAATTTCTCAGTTTAATTTCCCATGCCCAGAATTCACTGACCGCAAACTTCTGGCTCTGCTCTTGCTCATGTTTGGTGGGATGCCATCTTGATTTTCCCTTTATAAATCGTAATGTCAATGAGCAAGGTTTTACTTCTGACGACGGCTGAGGGGAACTCCTTTCCCATCCTCATGTGGGTTGCTGTATTTTGTGCTTTCACTCCCATTGCACACCTCATTGCAAAACTTGTCCATTCTTCGGCCCATTCTTTCGAGATTGCGTTCTGCTTCCTTCACAAAGTGCTAGACAGTGCACTTGTGTGCCATATAGGAACGTATTACAGAGCACAACTGCTTCTGAGTCAGAAAACTGAAATGTGACATAACAGTATTTGCTCAGGTACTGAATTAATTCTTATGTATCACGGTGGCTGGCTCTTCACTTCAATGTCCCAAGTTCGATCCAGGTTCACGGTGGTACCGGGGAAGATTTGTCTCCAAGTGCTTCTTTTTCCCCTCTCATGGTGTATGTTAGGCCCAACATTATCAGATTTGTTCCTTACCTAGGGATTTGTATCATGTGGCAGTTGAGTGAACTAGTATTGAGAAGCTCATTTTATTTGAAGAAAAGAAAAATGAATTGACAGTGTGAAAGATGCATTAGACTGGTGATCAGGGTTTAGCTTCTGCACTTTCAGTTCTGTTGTGGACTTAACCGTTATAACCATGTGTGGAGGCAGAAATAGTACTCAGCTCTCAACCAGTCAGAGACCCTTCTCACTGCCCCAGTGTGTGAGTCCAATTGTGGAGCACAGAGCATCAGTCATGTGCACTCACACAGTTTTCTGTTTGGGACCCAGATGGCGTGGACACTTTGTATGTCTTATAACTGGGTTTGGCTATACCGTTCTGATATATTACCACTTACAGTATCAGCAACCACAAGTCCCCAGAAGCCATGTGGACCTTCACACGTTTTCATGTTATTCTATGGACAGCCATGCAAGGGACTTAAAAAAAGTTTGCAGCTCACCGGTGCTGTCCAGCTTGCCATTAGTCTTTTGATTGTTGCCAAGATTTTGGAGGAACGTACTGCACCCATCTTCAAGGAAGAGTAAGTCAGGCAGGTAGCTAGCATGAAGACTGTGACAAGTAGAGTGCCGTCTCAGGACACCAATTGAGCTGTGCCTAGCAGCTGTTCTGCAGCAACTCATTCCTTCTTCTGTCCCTTCAGCTGTCTTTTATGCTGTTGGGTTAACCAGGCATTAGAGAATGCCCCTTTATGTGTGTCTATACGGTGCACATGAGCCCCCTTCTTCACTCCCTTCAACCTTCCAGTCCCTTTTTTGTTCCATTGTGCTGTGGCTCGTCTCTCTGAAATTCACTGCGGCCTTGGTTCCGACTCAGGAAGGTATATTTAAAATTTGTTTTAGCTTGTCTCCTCCTAAAACTATTTCAGCCACCATTCTACTTCCCAATCAGGGCAGTGTGGTCCCTCTGTGGTCTGCCAAAGGAAGTTGTTTCCTCTTTGGTATTTAATTTCTTTTCCTTTGGCCTCGAGTGTGCACACCACATACAGGCCATAATTGGGTTTTGTATTGTTTCCTTTTGCTTGCCTGTAGTCTGGTTTTCTGTTGCTTGTATCTCTGATCGGGGTGGGTTATTTGGATTTGTATTCACTTTAATCAAGTATTTACGTCTGCATTTATTAATAGTTTTACGATTTTTTGGGTATTATTTAGTTTGTAGCCCCTGCCTTTTTCAGTGTGTGTTACCAATGCTAAGATCCACAGGAGCACATGCGTGCTGCTGAGATAGAGATGAATAGGGGTAGTGCACTCTTGTTCTTCATATCCATCGCCACTTGTCTTAACCTGCTCATAGGAACTCTTTCAATAAAGGCTTTGCCACCCAATACCAAAGTCTTTATTGTATGGAGCTTTGCTTCCATGACCCCATGTTTTTATTGGATGTGGGTTCGTCAGTGTTGCAACTTCACCTTTGTGGTGGTGTTATTCAGCATTGCATGATAGTGTTTCACATGCCTGAATATTGTATACCTCAAAACATTCCTGTAATAGCACAGTCTATTTAGACTTCTGAAGCAAAGTGTGAATGTCCTTGAGGTCTGCCTGCTCAACTCTGTATCTCAACACTGTTCTCATGACTCCTGCATATGCTGTGATACATGTTTTAATCAGGTTTCTTCCTTAGGTTTTCCTGGCAGAGCTTTGTGCGTTTGGGTTTCTGAACCAGTGATCTCATTGGGAATCAATCCTATGGCCTTCCGGCTTGTAGCATAGTGCCTCAATCAACTACACTACTGTGTGCCACACTTTTTTAAATATGTAGGCAATAAACATTCTCTCATAGCAGATGGCAGTAAATGAAAGCTGCTTCAGAACTTACGAATCACTTAGCATTAATAACCAATATACGTACAGCTGAACTATAATCTTCTTTATTCACTGTACTGAAGACAGTTCTTGTGAACTGTATCTGTAAGAGTATGCTCATGTGTTGACCAGACTCCAGTTGTGTTATATTGGTATGATTGATTGGGAGCATTGGAAGGGAGTAAGTAGTGCTGCGCTCTACGAGTCGTACTGTAGTGAAATAAGCAGTCACGTAGTAGCCGTGTGACATGTTAATTTGTGTATGTGATAGCTCTTTATACAAAGACAAAGAAACAAAGTTTTACAACATAATAAATTAACAGGTTATGGGCCCAGGCATCAAATATTACACCTCAAAGTGTGTTGTGTGAAATGGTCAAGCTTGTTAAGTGACTCTTGCGGTAGTGCTTTCTCCCTTTTTTTCCGTGGAAAATTGTTGTGCGAGAGAGGGAGGCATCTGTTGAAGAGATCCAGTCAAGATTGTGGAACGAAGTATGCACTGTGGTGTGCAAGAGGAGAAAACTTTTATGATACCGAAACTAACATGACGCAATTATAATGGTTGGATGGCGCGTGTGAAGTCAGAACTTTCATTACATGAATGTTGGGAGGCAATCGCTGGATGTGAAGACGCAACAAGAGTGCAGTTATCACAAACGGAGATGAGGAGAGCCAAAGAAAATCTTACAGCGTTAGCAGTCATCATGAGAACTGTAAGTGACAAACTGATCAACGGCATACAAGACTGCAATGAGGCCAGAGAAGCATGGGGAACATTGGACAAAGTATGTAACGAAAACACAGAATACAGTGCCATAATAAAACTAAGAGAATTAGCTTGCATACAAAAATCTGAGGATGTAAGCATGCAAGATTACTGCTCAAAGATTATCACTCTTAACACTTTGCAGACCGTGCAACCTTTAAAAGGTTTTTCGCTTTTAAACATGGCGGACCGTTCGCCTGTTAACTGGTTTTTAGAACACGATAAGTTGTAACACACTATACATCTCTCTGTCGCCACCCAAATGAATGACTACTGCGTAATATTACTCTGGAATGTTTGCTTAGTAGGCAGTAACTTGACTTCACTGTTTTGGTTCCCCCTCCAAAGGAAAATAATCTTTGACCCTTCAAGCTGTTATGTACCAGGCAGGATATTAGTGCAATATGAATCAAGGACAGAAGCGGTTGAAGACGAAGCAATATCTCGGAGAAAAAGAAATATCCTACTCGTTCTCCGATGAGCTATTTGACGTGCCTTGTGAAAGGAGTAGTGAAACTGAGACAGTGGCAGTGACAGGGGTCAACAAACAAGTGTAGCCACAGACAATAAAAGTGAAAGTAGCTCCAACAAAAGTGCAGGTAGTAAAATTGCGGGTACAGACACATGGGGAAAAGTAGGCAAAATGGGGTGACTTTGGGACAGTTTACTGGAAATCCAGGGGTGAAACAAATTCCATTGGACACAACGCAAATGTCTGAAGTAGCGGAACTGTTTTTTGGAGATAGAGATACTCGTGTCGTGAATATGATTCCCACAATTCACAATTTGAGCATGGTTCATGTTCAAAGGAGACATGGACAAGTAAAGAAGCCTATTTGTATTTCTGAGTATAATATGTTCATGAAGGGAGTTGATAGAGCCGATCAATGCTTGGCCTATTATTCTCTTCCTAGATAAACAATAAAGTGGACAAAGAAAGTTGCCTTGTGACTTATAAATTGTGCCATTTTCAATTCATTTTTGGTTTACAAAAATCTAAACCCCAATTCGAAATTGAAATACAAAGCATTTCTGATGAATGTGGCAAAGGCCTGGGCTACAGACCAGATGGTGGCAGCAGAACCAGAGTCAGACACAGACTTAGTGCGACCGGGCCCATCAACTCCCACCCCATGCAGGCCTCATGTGGACCCCCCTGGGCGACTCTCTGGTGATATGTGGAAACATACCCTCATGAAAATTGTGAAGAGTGAACGTGCAAGCCTTCTAGGTGATGCCGTGTTTGCGCAGTACACAATAAAAGGAGTATGACGGTCTACATGTGGAAGTTCTGTGTAATGCCACTTCACAAAGGGGAATGTTTCCAGAAATATCACACTCTCAAGTACTTCTAGGAGCATTGGTAAGTGTTCTCCAAAAATTTTAGTTCATAAAATTAATTATGAGATTTTATATTAATTTTTAAAGTGAACAGTGCACAAGTTAGGGTAGTAGGTTTAAAAATGCTGGGCCCCAGGGTGATTTAAATATTTAAATTGCCGGTCCGCAAAGTGTTAATAGGCTACTGAAGAGAAATGATCTTGGATTTTTGGACAGACAGTTAGCAGCAGTATGTCTAACTGGACCACCCAAACCCAAATATGAGGTAACAGTGAAGACACTGATAGCACAGCCAAATAATTTATAAATGGCAGTAGTTAAGCAGTACTTACTTGAAGAAGAGGAACAAGAAAAGCAAGATGAGGTAGAAGAACATCAGGTGCTTAAAGTGAAGAGAAATTACTCAAGGAGACAAACAGAGACGAAAGATGCAGAAGAGAAGCAGAACTACCAAAGTCAATACAGCTATCAGGACAAAGGGAAATTCAGACTCGGAGGAGGTAAGCAGTATGAGCGTACCAAGCAGCGGTTTTGGTGCTATGCATGTGTGGAAGAAATCCACATTGCGTACAATTGCCCTAGACGGTTGGAAGGGGCCAATAACAGAGGAGAGAAACGGTGAAAGGAGTAAATATGTGGAAACCAGATATGAAAAGAAGGAGAGGGTCAGCGCATCTGTAGTAACTAGGGAGCATATACTACTATGTACTAAGAAGAATATAATAAACAATGGGAGTGTATGGCTGCTCGACAGTGGAGCATCTGCTCATATGACAGACAGGAAGGATCTCATGCATGACTTTGCAAGCATAAATGGAGAGGTAGTAGTAGGTGATGGAGCCCCTTTAAAAATTGCAGGAAAGGGAAGGATAACGCTCGAAATGTCCCAAGAATGCGGAGGAAATGATATTGAGTTAAAAGATATGCTTTATGTCCCAGAGCTACAAGATAATCTAATTTCTCAAGGCCAGATTGAAGAAAAGGGACTTAAGATTGTGATGCATGAAGGTACGTCGATAATCATGCATAATGAGAAGATGATATTCCAAGCTCACCAAGTGTCAAGGCTTTATTATGTAATGACCCTGGGTAGCACCACCATGTGCGACATCAAGGAGGCATATGACAGGAAGAAGAAAGCATCATTGGTTTCATTGGCAACATGACATAGTAGACTTGGACATCTACACTTGGAGGCAATGAAGAAACTAGAAGTATTAGACGAATTAAATACTAATCTGAGTGATAGAGAGAGAGAGAGTGTTTACCATGTATTCAAGGAAAAATGCAACGAGAACCGTTCCCAACTGGAGAAGAGGAAAAGGCCAAATAAGTTTTAGATAAGAGTCCACTCTGACAATATATAACCAGTATCACCTATGTTAATGCGACAGAAGAAATACATCATTACGTTCATAGACGAAGCATCAAGGTACGTAACAGCTATTGCTATCAGAAGAAAGAGTGAGACATTTGCGGAGTTCATGAAGTATAAAAATAGGGTGGAATTACTGCGTGATAAGAAAATTAAAGAGTTACAGACGGACCAGGGGACCGAGTACCTGGAAGCCGGCGTACAGAAATATTTACAGGAAAGTGGAATACAGCACAGAAG